CCGATTTCATCCGCATTACTTCCAACTCCTTTCCAGAGATACACCTTCCCGGATCTTCCAGATACGATATACGGGTATTTCGAGCACAGGTTCCTAGGATCCAGATCAACCTCGTCAAATGCAATCTGTCCGAGATGACTGCGTCCGCAGAGCATGTACTGGGGGTTGGAGCGCTTGCTTGCACCACGTCGCGTGATAATAATCCCTCCAAGGGCTTGAATGAAAATCGCCGTCTCCTTCCCCTGCTTTAGGAGTTCAAGCTTGCAGCTATGTTCCCTAGCCATCTTCTTGGCGAAGAGCTGCGCATCTTCAAGAGACGCCTCGCCGACACCATCGCCACACCAGAGATGCACTTGGGCATTCTTCGCTCCGGCTTCCATCTCAAAATAATGCACACACAGGTACATATTCTCTTCAAAGAAGATATACTCCTGATTCGGCGGTAAATCCTGCCGTTTCCCATCACCATTAATCTCCCAGACTTGCTTCCTCACAGTCTTAATCTTCGGAAAACCCTTCATCGCCGGGAGGATAGTTTGCGGATCGATATTAGCCTTTTCATTAGCGTTGGGAGGGTTGTTGAAGAACTCAGCGAAGGTACGGGTTGCCTCTGAGGTTTCCGGGATTCGAGATGCTAACGAATGCCGAGCAATGTCAGGATTTTTCTCTGGTACAGGGGGTGATTCGGGGAGGTTTTTTGGTGGTGATGGCAGAGACTTATTGATTGGAGATTTTGGCTTCGCATCAGCTGCTCCAGCGGGCGAAGTTAACCCAGTATTAATCCTTTTCTGAAGCCGGGGGGAGAGCCCGGTATTATCCAGCATGTGAGGTTTGGGCGGAGGTTGAGGTGCGTTCTCCTTTGCCGTCGCCGATGATGACACAGACGAGAACGAGGCCGATTTCGGAGGTGGTGCCGGTCGGTTGTTGGGAGATAGGCCGTGGTCTGATGTCTTTTCTAGTCCATCTGACATCGAACGTTCTATCGTCGGCTCGCCATCACGGGATGGTAGCGGAAATCCTCTTTGCTTGGGCTGCGTATCCTCATTCCTAGCGACCTGGGGGCTGGGCGGGTTTGGCGAGAATTTCCTAAGCTCGGGGGACTTCGCAGATATTGTGGGTTTAACCCGGGTGTCAATTGGCTTCGTAGGTGTTGGTGTGCCACTTGGCTCGTTCAAAGAGATAGATGGTTTCTCAGGGCTAGGGTCACGCGAAGAGACTGGAGTGCTTGCCTTGGGAAGCTCAATAGCGTTACTAGAAGGCTTTTGGGATAGAGGCTGAGGTGACGAGGGCTTGGAAGCAGGTGACGATGCGTTTGCAGCCGAGGCCTTTGGCGCTCTTCTCTTGGGACCCCTAGCTCTAGCTTTGGTCATATGCGTCAATGGAGCATCTGAAGATTGTTTAGTCTCCCCTGAAGCCGACGAAGTAGCTTCCACTTTGGTTGGTTTGTTTGAATCTTCTTCATTCATGGCTGGAGGACCACGCGACAATATTCCCGCGAGGGCAGGGTTCAACCGGTCAGCGAGTTTTCCCTTGCTAGCAGGTTTGTTTGAAACCAACCTTGACGGTTCGGGGTCATTCGTGGCTGGCTTGGCACGGGTTTCATCCGCTACCCGATCCGTCAACCGAGTTTGTTCCAGTTTCTCGCTTAGCCGTGTCTCGGATTCATCACTCTGGCTTCTACCAACGGGGGTAGGAGTACCGGGATCCCTTTGGGCTGGAATAGTCTCGGAAACAGTCTTGAATTTGGCTTCTTGACTTGTAGTTGGAGTCAAGTCATCAGATCCCGAGACAGACGGCTCCATTGCATCCTTTGACAAGTCCTTGGGTCGGTAGGAATCCAGTGTGGACATATCGTCGGTGGAAGTACCGCTCAGAATGCTATCAGATTTGGCCAGATTACCTCGCTTCGAAATAGCTTCAGGGACAGGGGATGCAGATGGGGGTCGTTCTTTTTGAGCATCAGGGCCTCTGATACTTCCCCCTCCAGCCTTCATGGCCTCCTTCTGCTTTAAAATACTTTCTTTGAATTCGTCTACCCGCTTCGTTGGCTTTGGGCCACCTGTGACATTCAAAGCCGCCTTTCCTCGAAGAATATTGTCTTTCAACTCATCAGGAGCTTTATAGTTTTTGGTTTCAGTCTTCTTCAATTTGCCAAAGACATTCTTGAATTCTGGTTCGTCTTTGGAAACGCTCTGGCCAGTATTTCCTCGAGGGCGAAGGTTTGATCTGAAATCTTTGACAGAGGATGTTGGAGGCTGCGGCTTGGGCTTGGATGAGATTGATTCGAGATCGGGTTGATCTCGTGTAGGGGAAATTGTACGCAGAGAACCGTCAGGCGAAGGAGACTTAGTCACATCAGTGTCCGATTCTGGAGGCGGGCTAAATGCTGGCTTTAGGACAGGAGGGTCCTTGAGAACATCAGAAGTATCCACGGGCGTCTCATTCTTAGAGGGAGGGATGTTCTCCAGCTCTGTAGTCTTTGATGATATACTAGCAAATGCCCCTGCCCTTTCGCTTATGCTTCCCGGCTTCTTGAAACCGGTGCCCGGCGGAGGAGATCGCATGAGACCAACAGGTGTGACCTCTTTGAACTGTGGCGTTTTACCCAGGTCGACACTTGCCTTCTGCTGCCTCGTTCGGTTTATGTCTTTCATCCAGCTAGGCTGCTGTGGGGCTTGGGGCTTTGGCTTCGGCGACTCTGGTCTGTTTAGGGCGCTTTCAAGCCAACTGGCCTTGGTGGGGCTCCATCTTTTAGGGTCCATTGTTTTGGACGGACTGGTAGGAACATCTACCTCAGAATGCTTCCTATCGCGGTTCCTTAAAGTATCAAAGGATTCTTGTGACGGAAGAGGTGGCTTTACAAACCCATCGTTAGAAGATTGGTCGTTTCCACTGGGTGTAGCGCCTGCAGGCTCCTTCTCTTTGCCATGGTTATGGATGACAGTCGCCTCGCTGTGGCTGGAACCAGGCCGTGAGCTAGCAAGAGGTGATCCCTCGCGAACGGGAGCACTGGCTTTCATATCCCACGTGGCATTTGAACCAAATCCACTTCGGTTGCTTGCAATGGAGTTGCCACGGCTAAGACCGGGCCCAGCTTGCGCACTCCATCTCTTCGACTGACTATCTGATCGTTTCATCATTGCACTTTGTACGAAACCTCCGAGACCTTTCGTGGGGGAAGAAGATCGCTCCGGCGATAGGCGACCCTGGGACGGAGACATGGCGTATCGATCACCTGATTGAGTATCGCCTGCTGTGGGTGTCAAAGGCTCAATGTTTCGGGAATCTAGTCGGTGGGATGTTGAGATAGGAGCTATTCCGCCCGCACCACCGGATGTTGACACTGAAGATATACTGGAATATCTATTGCCCAAGCTACTACCATAGGTCGAACTTGCCCTTGAAGGAGAACGCGATCTTTCACTGCCATGATCATACGTCGTTGCCGCCTTCTCTGGCTCTGTTGTAGACTCTCTGCTCATCCCGGGAAGTCTCATCGAGCCTGTGACCGAAGATACATCAGACATTGTATCGTCTTGGTTCTTGCGATATGCTGGTGAACCTATTCCCCTATCGGCAGTCTGTCGAAACCAGGCAGGATCCTTAGAACCGAGGGATTTGGCTATTCGCTCCCGTGATGATTCCGCCTCTTCGTCTTGTGTGGGTTCGGAAACAGGTTCAGCAACCGGTGGGGTTTCTTTCCTCGTCGCGTCAATATCTGATGCGTGTAACGATGTTGTGCGCGCACTTTTGTCATCGGTCTCATCTAAAGTCGGGCGTCGCTGCCAGGAGAGTGCCCCGCTTCTTGAGGGACTTGTCGAGTTACTAGGCGGTGATTTGAAGCCCATCGAGAGCGGTCTTGTTGACTTGGGTGTGCCCGGGTCCATGTTGTGACCGGAGACGCGTTGTTGTGGTTGGTATTCCTTTTCCTTCTCCAAATTGGGGCTGTCTTCTTGAGGTGTGCTCTGTTCCGTAGGCTGTGAGGAGGGGAAGAGGTCCACTGGCGGTTCAATGGATTGTTGAGACGTCGACGAGGTCAGGGCCGCAACATTTGATAGAGGTGAGTCTTTGGTGGGAGAAATGGATCGAGCGCGTTCTAAAAGGGTAGAAAGAAAAAAATGTTAGACCATAATCAATTTCCCTCTCATATAAAGCCAGCCCAGGTTCATAACAAAGGGATATTATTGTTTTCCCAGAGTCCAGATGAGATCCCCGTGTTGGAGGTTTGTAAACTCACCAGCCCTTCTCGCCTGTCTTTCTTTACGACCCTTCAATATCTCCTCCTCTAACTTCCTGGTCCTCTCTTCATCTTCCTTATCACGTTTATCCCCCAGCTCTCGAATGCGGAGAAGAAAGTCATTGACGTCTTCAGAGCCTTCAGCTTCAGCTGCGGGAGCCATGATCCACAAGACGACGGGCAGCAGGAAGGCGGAGGGGATTATCTGGTAGATTGAACAGAAGAGATGACAACGACTTTCCCGGGATAGATAAAGAGACCAGACTCTTCCGTCCTTTTCTCTCTCGTCTTACGCTCTCTTTTCTTTCTCTTTTGTTTATCCCGCACTTTCTTTTGGGAAGTCCGACCGATGTTGGTGGATCTTCAAAGACCCATTTCGTACTGATTTCTGGTGTCGGTTGACTACTGTACTTTTTCTATTGGTTCAGCTCTCTCTTGCCTTTGAAGTATCAAAAATCCTTGTCGTTAAGAAAGAAAGAGAGAGAGAGAAGAGGGTGTACGGGCAACGATAGCAAGCAAGTGCAGGTGTTTGATATCTATCGTCTCTTTATTACTGCCTGAAAGAAACACTCTAATTGTTGCTATCCCCTTTGTCCTGCCCGTCTTTGTTGACATGCCCCTAAGCGCATCTCCATACTTTGTGGAAAACAATGGAAAGACGATAAACTTCCTTCTTTCCTTCTGGTGCAAGCCCTGTAATTAACCGATCTTGGTGACACTTGCAGACTTATTTTTTCTATGAAAGAAAAGCAAACACATAAATGGTTTCATGGTCTAGTGGTTAGGACTTTCGGTTTTGATTAATTCTAATAATTGAAACTTCCGAACAGCCTGGGTTCGAACCCCAGTGAGACCTTTGTTTTTTTATTTCCATTTTTTTTGTATCTAGACGAAAAGAGACGAAAAGGGACTCGTCAGACATCCGAGACATCAATCGCTCTCTCCTCATGCCGAAAAGGGATCGTGCCATCGTAGACGGGGTTCCTTGATGCTTTCTCCCTGATGGTTGCGAAACCCGACCGTAGTGGCGTAGCCCTATGTGGGAGCGAGAAAGCGTAGATGAGGCACGATGAAAGCCCCCAAGCCCTTTCCTCGTGTCTCCGTAGATCGATCGATCAGTACAAAAATAGCCTATCTTTGGCGTCCTGAACAACCCATTCCAATCCCTCGTGCAAGTTCACTCCGGTCATCGCACTGCACTCCATTATCGTCCACTTGTGGGTCTTGATCGCGTCGAGCTGGAGTTTCTACAATGACAATACCCAGAAATAATCAGACACGACCCGCGTTTTCGAGATTTTCTTCGTGATTTCACATTGCCCAACTTACCTCGCGGATCTCGCTGGCTGTCATAAACCCTTCGACATCGGTCTTGTTGGAAAAGACGAGTAGACTCGCCCCCATCAGACGCTAGGGATAAAATTAGCGGGACCCAAACCTGTGATGAGAGGATGGAACCGTGAGACTGACCTCCTCCATGAGGAGCCCTGCCAGCTCTTCCCGACAGTCGTCGACCCGCGCACGATCAGTTGCATCAACTACCCAGATCAATGCGTCGGTCTTTTCGAAATAGTTTCTCCAGTACGATCGGAGTGTCTTTTGGCCGCCAACATCCCCTTTCGATACCATTAGCTCAAGAACCGATCCAGAAGGTCTTCCCTTGCGGCTCAATATACTAACAGATGTTCAGCTTGTAACTGCCCACCAGTTCATATCAATCAGCAACTGTATCCCAGGAGGATGCAAGAGAGAACCCCTTACCCTTGGAAATCAATAGTCTTGATGATGAATCCCAACGTAGGGCTGACCGTCGTGACATCTTCCTTCATGATCCTCTTGACAATGGTTGTCTTGCCCGCATTGTCGAGTCCCCTGGGTATGGATGAGCACACTTCCTCATCCACACCTGTGATGGCCAGCGAGACTCACAGCATCAAGATCCTCATCTCCTTGTCCTTCAACCTTGCCTTTCGTAATATCGAAAGCATTGTCACTGTCCCTCTCTGTGATTCCCCAACTTTCTCTTGTTCCTGCTGCGGTGTGTTTTTCAGTGGTCTGAGAAAAATGAAAGATGTTCTCATAACCGCACCCGCGCATCGTAGATCCTATCGCAACACAACCATGCCGTCGACCTCTCCGTGTCAATGAATTATCGCCCACGGCAATTCTCTCAGGAATTTAAATAAAATTCTTATCCTCATCTTCTTTTCCTTTCTACAACACTTCACTTTCCATCTTTTCATCTATCCAAAAACCGTTGATACTTTGGTGCTTTCATACCAAGACTTTGATACCTAGCCGCAGCTAGGCCGCGTACACATATCCTTTTGACGTTTTCTTTTTATCTGTTACTTGAACCGCAGTCTGAAGGCAGATAAAGAGCCTAGTAATCCGCTGAGGTTGGGCCAGCCCAAGCGCGAGGTAAGTGATGTCAACAAATCTCTTCCCGTTATATCATTTGTGTTGCAAATAGACAGTATAACACTCAGTTCAGAGCCGGAAACACAGGCTAACAGACCTCTCAACCTATGGGTAGGTGCAGAGAACGAGCTAAACTTGCCGCTTACAACAGTACGTTTATCGGGTGCTTTGCTAGCTATATCGAGAATCAGACTAACTCCGTTTGTCAACTTGCAGTTCCAACCACCCACCAAGGTCGAGACGAGACCATGGGCGACATTACCCCCAGTAACGGGGCTATTGACTCTAATAAGGATCTTTGGGATCAGTTTCTTAAGGCTCTCAAGGGAACCCAGACGCAGTCCGCTTATGCTAATCGTCCTGGTCAAGAAGCGACTATCTCAGATGAAACTTCACCTCCAGTAGAGCCAAACCCAGTGAATGAGGCCGAGCCTGTTGACAACAATAAAGCCGTTGATGCCGCATGGGAAGACGCCAACGAGCCCAATAACAGCACCCCATCGAAGCATGGCTCCACCACCGTCGCTGATGAAGAGGTAAAAGCTACTGGCAATGATCAAATCTTTATTGCGGGTTTAGAAGACGGCAATCAACTGAATAACAACATCCCATCGGAGCATGGCTCCACTGCCACTGATGAGGAAGATGACATTGTTATCAACTTTGACAACGACAACATCTCGGAGCCTAAGGAAGAGGTAGCACGCTCTCCAAAATCGAAAGGTAAGCTTCCTTAACTTGGATTACTACCCTATCCTATGCTTAAATTCACTAACACTCTTAGGCAAACAACCCGCTTCTTACGAGAGTGCAGACTCTCCTTACGCGAATAACAACGCGTCATCTGATCAACACGTCACATTTGACGTAGAAGTTGACGGGAAGCAGATTTCCTCCCAGACATCTAGGTTCTCCGAGATTGACGGCAAGGCCCTGCAGAGATTGGACTCTCCTCCAGCAAGTTACTCGGCAGATTTTGAGGATCAACACCTTGTTCCTGCGCCTCTTTTTGGTTCCACCGAAGCGGTTGGGGCTGCACCATCTGAACAAGGTATTATCCCTATCCCGTCCGCCTACTCTAATAAACAAATTCACTTCAAGGCGCCTGAGTGAATATGTCCTTTTCGTTACTAACCTCATTGTAGACTCTGAGATCTCTGACGAGGTTACTTATCATCCTGATCGTTTCAATATGGCTAGGAAGCGCAAAACAGAGAAGTCAAAGGCTTTAGTTCTTGTCAAAGCTCCCTTCAACAAGGCCAATGGAGGGGGGAGACCTAACGGCCCAGCGACACCTCAGGCTGAAACCATTATTTTAAAGGAACTCCAGGCCGCCGAACTCGCCGAGGTAGGCCGTAGAGCCCTAGGAATCGTTGAAGAGGAGAAAATCAAGACTGATAAGGCTTTGACCCTTGCTCGCCATGGAGACGGCAACAATCCCGAATCTGATATTGGGAAGCATCTGAGAAGCTTCGTTACGGATATTCCATCGACCAAGCTAATCGGCTATCATGACACATCTAATCCCGCCAACATGCAGGTTGCCAGGATTGTCCATAACACCAGTGTGGATCAAGGGGTAGACAATTCGAAGCGCCCTTGGGCTAATTACCGCTTATATCGCTTGGACAAACACGGTTTCTTCAACGACGACGGCCGCATCCTGAGCGGCGAGGAGAGAGAGAAGTGGGAGGCCCCATGGACTAACTATTACAAAGATGCCCCCTTGCACGACGAAGAAGATCCCGATTGCTACCAACGGGAACCTAATAACAGGATGACTGCTATGGATGGTCTTCCCCTCTCCTATTCCCCTGTGCTCGACGAATTTGGTAAACCGACCAATTGGCAAAACATCTTCGGAAACCCGGGCGCTGAATTGCTGGTTCCTCATCTCATAGACAAAAACAGTCCACAGTTTCTCCTGTTTCTCCGCAACTGGCTAGAGACAGGTTGTATTGGGCTCCCAGAACCAGTTATTACCAACAGGAGCTCTTTTTACGATGGAACCGCCCATCCAGACGGCATTTCTGCAATGTTTATGCCTGAAATTGAAGACGTTGTGGCTTTTTTAGATTTGAATGACCCCCGCAACGCCGAACACGCTCATGAAACATCCGCTGGGTTCATTCACAACACAAATGTTCGGAAGGCAAAAGAAGCTGCCATTAAAGAGGAAGAGAAACGGCAGACTCAGATGGAATATAGGTCTTTGATGGTCCTGGAACCCGAGCAAAACCCTAACGTCCCAAGAGCGAACATCTTCCTTCGTCCCGTCGAGAATGGCGACATCAATGGGCTAACGGCGCTATACAACATTTACGTGAAGAACACAGTCCGTACGTTGGAACGACAGGAGATTACCGACCAGGATATGTTAGACAGGAAGAATGAGTGCTCCCGCGAAAATTTACCCTTCATCGTTGCCATCGAGCGCAGAGTCGAAGGGCGCAGTCACACTCAAGCCGTCGTTGGGTTTGCTTCCGCCACCGATTTCTTCGGGTCACACACCGCTGGCAACCATACTGCCGAGTTAGACCTTTTCGTTCACCCCGACCGGTGCCGTCTCGGGATCGCGAACTGTCTGATCGATAAACTCCTCGAAGTATGCGATCGTACCTTTGTGCCGAAGAAGGGGTACTGGTTCAACGCCAATTATGGTGGTCATGCCGCGTATAGCCCTGGTGGGAACCGTGAATTGGCACGTCTGATATTCATCATACATTTCGCAGAAAGCGATAAGTCGGAGTACCTGTGGCTCAAGGATTGGCTGGAAAGTCGTTTCATGTTCGAGGAGCAAGCTCTCCTGAAGGGTGTCGCATACAAGCGCGACAGAGTGTGAGTTCTCCTTTTGATGTAGTTTGCTTGTTTGGGAAATTGTTGTCCCCGTTACTAACTGCTTTAACAGTATCAACTCCTCGTACCTGGTTAGGAACACTGGAAGGCACCTTCAGGATGCTGTCAACACCAACTTCTAATGGGTAAATATTCGACTCTCTACCGCCCCTGAGAAGGCCCATCCTTAGGAGATTTTCTTGAACTCTTTTCTAAGGCACCCAACACCAGAACTACAAACCCCCAAACACACTAACTCTTTTCGAGTTCTCTCGTCTATCTTCTCCCTTTCTCAAAGCATATTACCATCGGAGTTCACCCCCTTTTTCAAGCGTGGAATGACCCTTACGACGGAGAAAACTCCAACGAGTAACGGACAACTAGACTTTCGTTTTGCCCAAGCATTCACCTCACATTATCTGCCCCGTCCGAAGAGAAACAATACAAAACCACAAAAAAAGTGCCTTCACCCTCAACCCCCCCTTTGCATGTACTCCCTGCCTTAATTTCCTTTTTTATCTTCTACTCAAAATTTTCCAAGAGTCGATTATCCCCTTTTGCGAGCGAGCATAGCATAGTATCTAGTAGTTTTGGCTTGGT